TCCTGGACCGGGGCACGAGCTCATGTCCCCTGCATCGGCAGGTGGACTCTCAACCACTGCGCCACCAGGGAAGTCCCGGGGAAGACATCTGATGGATATTCACATGTATTTTTCATAAGTTTTTCAAAAGAGGCTGGTATGTCACACACCTCCTCCAGTTCCCCAAATCACTCTAGACCCAGGAAACTAGTATGCCTGCCTTTCCCTCCATAACAAGCCATGTAACTCCATGATGAAGATAAGGACAGTATATTCTCAGAGGAAATTCACATTTATAGTCCCTGGACTAAAATTCACTCATGTGTGAAGTTCTGAATCTCAATATCAAACATAGGAATAGCTTTTAGTTTTGAAATGTCACAGGCCACACAAAGAGTTAAGGAGACTGCAGCCAGTACCCTTAGACCGCTCCCTTTTTCATATAGAAAACCCACCAGCATCTGGAATCACCACATAGTTGTCCTATCTGAAATAAGAAACACAAATACAGGGTAATCTTTAGCTGATTTCATTAGGATGAACACAAAGCTCACTAAAAGTACTCACTTAGGGAAAAAAAGCTTACTCACATAAGGTTTCAAAATAGTATACAAATACATAAATACATTTCATGAAAATAATTTTACATTGTCTCTCCACTGACTGCTTCTTTTGAGAAATGTGAATTTCACTTTCATCTTTACTAGGCCTCAACTTCCCTCACCTTCCCTTCCAGTCAACCTCAGATCTCACTGAATAACTTTAGGGATATATAACCTGGGTGGAAAGAAATGAATAGCTTCGTTTTTCAAGAGTTTGTATCACTATTTGGTGGTTTTTTAGTGTATTTTTGATTCAGTAAAATAAAAAACATCTATCTCTTAGAAGAATCAAATGAGGTAATGCATATAAAGCATTTGGAAGCTTATCTTGAAGATAGTATATGTACAAACTTAAATTTTAATATGTAATATTTAAATTCAACAATGCTTTTGTCACCCTACCACATTCATTTACTGCTGCAGATAATTCCTCTCACTTGGGGGTAAGTTTCTAAACTCACACTTCGCTCTCTTCAAGGCAAATGTCCCATTCTGTTGTATACTTTCCAGTTTGTCAGGACAGCTAAAATGCAAGCTTCTCCAATTTTTTCCATTCCCCATCCATGTGCTTTTTAACTTCAGTTTACCACTGATGGCATTTATCACATTCTAATCAGGGACTCCCAAGAAATCAAAGTTTCAAATCACTTGCCCATTCTCCATGAATTCATTATCTCCTCTATCCGAATTCCTTTTCTTTATTCAAAATCAAAAAAATTAATGGCAGTGAGGGCTTTTCTTCTTTTAGCCCCCAGATTATTTCAGGCAGACTGTCCTGACTCTCAGGGGAAGGTCGCAGGTCTAGACTGGTATGGGCTTAATTCTTAACCCAGAAATGTGTTAACAGTTCAGCTATAAAGAATCTCACAACTGAAGTATTCGACAAAGGTGTAAAGAAGTCATTTCGAGTTACAACTACAGAATGGAACTGGATTTTTTACTTAAGTGTTTTGCCCAAGGTACATTTATCATATGCAAAGTGTTCTAAGGGTAGAGATGTGTCCCCAGTGTGGTGGGATAATCCTCCATGTTCTAAAACACTGGAGGCTCCTCCAATGGCCTAAGAGTTCCTCGGTCCTACTTAGCCCACTTATCCAAGACATAGTTTCTTAAAGTGACTTCCAGTTATACCTTACCCAATCAACAATCTTCTAAGACAGCAGGCTGACTGGCAGCCCCAGTCATATGAACCACACGTTTACTCATTACTAAAGAACGCATCCAAGGTTCACCTTAATCTTTGACCTAAAAGCCCACCTCCCCAGGACTATCACCACACATCTTAACCTTTTAAGACTTAAAATTACAAGCCACACAAAAGGCTGGAGTCACTGACCAAACCAGTTGTTCTCTCTTTGCGTTTACTTGCTTCTTAATCTTGGCTCCATGTTGTAAATCACCCATGGAATTTTGGAAAAGTGATTCCTGGATTCCAGTACCAGAGATCTTGATGTAATTAGTGTGTGGGGGGGTAAAGGGTGATAGCGGGTAAGGGGTGATGATTTAAAAAAAAAATTCTCAGGTGCTTAGAGGATACACAGAATCTGCAGACCTGCTGCTGTATGTGAAAAACTCTTTTCATACTAACCCATCTGCTGTGGGTTAAATTGTGTCATCCCCCCACCACCCCCCATGGCCCCCCAAGAGTCCTAACTCCCCATACCTCAGATGTAACCTTATCTGGAAATAGGGTCACTATTAAGTTAAAATGAACCCATACTGTAGGGTGGGCCCTGAACCCAATGTGACTGATGCCCTTATTTATTTTTAAAAAGGCCATGTGTAGAGACAGAGACACAGGGAGGACACCAAGTGAAGACAGAAGCAGACGAGGGAGTGATGTATCGATAAGATGAAGAACAGGGCTACCCTGGTGGCGCAGTGGTTGAGAGTCCGCCTGCCGATGCAGGGGACACGGGTTCGTGCCCCGATCTGGGAAGATCCCACATTCCGCGGAGCGGCTAGGACTGTGAGCCATGGCTGCTGAGCCTGCGCGTCCGGAGCCTGTGCTCCACAACGGGAGAGGCCACAACAGTGAGAGGCCCGCGTACCGCAAAAAAAAAAAGAAAAAAAATTTCCAGCAAACCACCAGAAGCTAGGAGAGAGGCATGCAACCGTCTGAAGGAAACGGCCCTGCGAACACCTTCATTTCTACCCTTCAGAACTATGAAAAAAGGCATTTCTGTTGCTTAAGCCACCCAGTTTGTGGTACTTTGTTAAGGCTGCCCTAACAAACTAAACCACCAGTTCACCTGAATTTATTTACTGACCTTTTCATTTTGACATGGGTACACCTCCCTTCCAAGACTTTAACCAATAACCATCACCCACCCAGCTCCATAATATACAACACTACTTACTGCTTTTTCCTCACTTTCAATATGTATTTGAGAATTTATGTGCTAAGGACTGTTTAACACAAGATAAAACAATGAACAGAAACAAGCACAGTCCTTACTCTCATGGAATTTAGTCTAGTGGAAAAGGCAATCAAAGAATCGTCCAAATAAATATAAAATTGCAACTGTGCTTTGCATAAAAGAAGCTGTAACTGGTGCAATGATGTCCCAGGATTCTCCCTTGTTAAGTTTGTCAAGGAGGGCTGCTTTGAGGAGCAACACTTAAGCTGAATTAGTGAAAAAGGGGAGAGTGGTGACTGAAGTCAGGGAAGTGTATGTGCAAAGTCTCTGTGACTGGTGGAAGGATACACTAGGCATCCATTTATGCAGAGGGTCAGTAGGCTGTGCTAAAGTATTATTTTCAAAGGCTAAAATTCATTATCCTCATACAAATATTGACAGTGATATGTCAAAGATTTTGCTCAACTCAGTAATTAATTAGGGAACCAGTTAGAGAATAAAGTTTGTTGCAAGAGAAATGAGAAGCAGTTTAAATAAAATTGCTTAGGGTAGATCCAAAACTGGTTAATACTCTACATGGTAATAAAACCAAAACCTTTAAGGATTTCTTTTCTACCAGATAATTCTTTGAGTTAACATGTAACCTTCAGTGTCTGGGTTCTCATCAACTGGTAACTACCAAAGTCAATCGCAGATGCATTTTCCTAAATAATTTAACTAATCTTTTTGTGTTGGTTAGACAATGTCTCAGACTGACATTGGTAGGACATGCTGCATTCTCTTTTAGTTTCTAAGTTTGGGGAAATAGTTCTTAAGAGTCAAGTTGTGGAGGCAGGAGAAATTTGAGGTAAGATGAAGGTGAAGATTTAGACTCACATATACAATTATTATTAAATTCTCACATTTCCCTATATAGTAAATCATCATCTTTCCCACAGGAAATTGGGAAGGGGTTTGAGAACCATTGCTCTGAGTTCTAAATCTCAATGTTTCAAATGATCATCTAACTTCCAGCTCACTCACCTGAGCTAAACTCCACTTCTCAGATCAGGGCTACTTTCCCCTTTAGTCTTGTGATTTGATGTGAAGATATGCAATGACTTTTTCCAGGCTTACATTTTTTACAAATTTGAGACAGAGCTTGCTTTTAAAATGATGATCCAGGTTTAATTCTTTACCCTTGTCACTTACTAGATACTTCACAGCCATGTGACTTTAGGAAAATTAAATCACCTCTGAGCCTCAGCTTCTACATTTGAATAATAAAGATCAATACACACTTATAGGTTGTTAAAAACATAAAGGGAGATACACTATGATGAACCTTTCATTAAAAGTCCCTCTAATATTTTTGTTGTCTTTTCAGCATTGTATGACCACCCCTGAACAAGGCTCTAGCAAAAAATTTTCAGTTGATTATCAAATAGAGAAAGTTGAAGGCAAATACAAGACACCACTACAACATTACTTAATGTAATAGTTTTTCAAAGTAGTGAACTATCAGGCTTCTTTTAAGAAATCTAATTTTCCTTGTAAGAGAGAAGTTGGATACTTGAAATATTTTTAAAATACATTTTCTGCAATACCTCCTCCCCACTGAGATAAGGTATCCAGGGAAATTAAGTTGTCCTCTATTTGGAGTGATGTTAGAAGTCTTGACAATGTCAGGAATAGGGTGTCTCCATTCTACATGTCACTCCGATGATAGCCTCAAATCTAAAGTCTTGATTATACCCAATTCTGTTTTCAGAAATCTCTAGAGTCCTTAACTTAGTCTTAAGGATCCCAGACTATTTCTGTCTCTAATTTCCCAATCTTATGCTGCATAGGCATTTGCTGTTCTAATTAACGTGGAGCCCTTCAGTTATTATCATCCATGATTCAGGTTAAATGTAACCTCTTCCATGAAATGGGTGTTGAAAGCCACATGAATGCAAAGGCTCTGGGGTGTTAACCTGGGTTCCAACTCAAGTGCTAAAAATCTTTTATTGGATTACTTTGTAAAATAATTTATATAAAGTCATGCTTGTAACATTCTGGCCTCTTGTGGTCTTAGATTTCACACCAAAGAAGATTGAGGGCTAAAAGTACCATTACAAGAAGAAACATGAGGGAGGCAGATGCTCAGAGAGTCTGAATTCATGCCTCCATTTGAAATACAAAGAGAAAATACAGGGCTGAGAGCTCCTTGGAAGGCGAGATCAGAGAAATTATAGATGAGGGATCTCTTTGTCACATCATAGAAGGATATCTGGCCATACTCATAGTCCAGGAAAACTCCAACTCTGCACATTTGCTCTCTCCAGGAAACCCTTTTTAAAGGGGGAAAGGCCCAGAAAGTATAATCAGTTCCCATAATGGATCCTGTGAATAAGACCTTATCTCCGGAAGCACTTCTGCTGGCAGAGCTTCCGTGTACGCCCAGCTGCCACCGTGTTGCCTTTTCCACATCCACCTCCCAGTAGTGCCACCCTGAGGTGAAGCTCTCCACACCCAACACAGTGGCGCTGAAGTCAAATCTCTCTGGGTGACTGGGTACATCCTGCTGCACATTTCTGAGTCTCACACTTCTCAGATCCTCAGATAAGACCAGACAGGGATGAGCTGTCTTAGGGTCCAAAGTTATAGGTCCTGCAGGGAGAAAGAAATTTAGTTAACCTAGGGGCTTGTCAGTGCCAGAGACTGATGATTTCTAACATGCAGGGGCTTCCTCACGAGTGGGCACGGGTCTCAGGCACAGATATGGGAGATGCAATCTAGGAGAGCACAGATAAAGGGACCGGGGCTTCCCTGGTGGTGCAGTGGTTGAGAGTCCGCCTGCTGATGCAGGGGACACGGGTTCATGCCCCGGTCCGGGAAGATCCCACATGCCGCGGAGCGGCTGGGCGCGTGAGCCATGGCCGCTGAGCCTGCGCGTCCGGAGCCTGTTGCTCTGCAACAGGAGA